CCCTTTTCAGCATGCTCCACCCCTTAACTGGTAGTTGTAGCTGTTCCCAACCATAATAGCTTACACACCAGGTGCATATAGTTTAAGGCCTTATGTAAAATCCCCTTCATAAGCCCACCTTAAACCACATAATTGCATGACACATTGAACCAGAACGGCACAGGCTGGACGTCGCTGGAGACAACCTTCGCTGGAGGCGACCTGCAATCCTGACGTTGGTCTCCACTCTTCATCCAGTGGCCGCATCTTCAGTTCAATCCAAGGGTACCCCTCTGTATGCTGATTAATCAACACTTCCAATCGTTGTGGATTTACCGTTGTGGATTATATGACTTTTTCCAATGGATTACAGACTCTGTTTCCAAGGGGTTAAAGCATTGCTACAATGGAATTACCAACAACATTATGGAATTATAATCAACACAATGGAATTACCAAGAACATTGTGGAATTACCTTGACTTTGTTTTCCTTGCTGGATTACTTCTGACTTTGGTCTTCCTTGCTGGATTACTTTTGACTTTGGTCTTCCTTGCTGGATTACATCAAGCTCAAGGACATTTGGAGGTCTAAGTTCACGGTTGGAATTCATCCCCATGGACAGGCGATGATTTCCAAAGGGGGGACTGTAGTGAACCTAGGCCCATGTCAAAACTGACCAGATGGACAGAGACTGTTATTTCATTGATCTGCATCCAGAAATACAGTTTGAGCCATCTGGAGACTTTCTTTCTTGAAGTAATCAAGTAGAAAAGACAATTCTCTATGATCATTACTATTTTACAAATGTTTGATAATCAAATTGTGTTAGTTCACTCAATGTTTACAGGTTGAAGAGAACTACTCATTTTATTTACATAAACAGTAAGTAATGATTTTTATTCCTCATTCAAAGAAGAAATCAGGTTAATATGCATTTCTTGATTTTTCTGTCTTCAATGAGCAAATTTGTAAGTATGTTAAAAGTCAGGTTTCGGTCAACTAAAATGTTTACTGAGAAGAAATGTCATGTTTAATCTTCACAGAAGATAATCAGAGTAGAGGCTCCACGAAGTCTCGTTTTCTCCAATAATCTTTCTGTCTGTTTTTAAACTATCTCATTCTCTGCCCTTGACTTTTCATAACACCTTACATCACAAACCACACCTCTTTCTGGTCCATCGACCAATCAAAAAGCTCTCAAATGACCCGGAAGTCGACCCATTTAAAATGTGGCAACTTCCCAGTTCAGCCGGTTGCTGGAGTTGCTGCGCTCAGGAATGAGTTCAACATGAGAGTAACAGAGTTAAGGAGTAAAGAGTTCCAGAGTTTAACTCTCTGAAGAGAGTTCTGAAGGAGTTCAGAATTCTGACGAGACAGGATGCAGAGAGGATTTTGGGAGTTACAACTTCTGTTTGGATAACCTCGCACGACTCTCTAAGGGTTTGGCTGTCCTCATGGAGACGCTGAAAGAGTCAGAAAGGAACCCTACGCCGACGCTGATTTTATCATCAACCAGGTAGAAGGTTCTATTTTCGACCAAGTGTACCGTGAACAAGCTGAGAACTGAAGGAGCGTGCACGTTTCTGGTCAAACAGATTAATTCCCTCACACATCTCTCTGTAAGATAAATCTCCATTTTCCATCTTAAACTCTCCTTTCTCTAAAATCATTATAGATATTTTAGAAATATCTGAAGCAAAGTTCTCAATCACTGCCGTGTGATTGATGTCTGTGGTTCTGCTGAGAAGTGAGGACAATCGCCGTATTGTCCACTTTCTGTGAACTTGAAATTGTTATTGTTTTCATATTTTGCCAAATTAATGTAAATGTTTGATGTTAAACTTTGATTCTGCAAATAAATGACCGCATTCATTTGATGGGTCAAAGATAATAACGTCTCTCTCGTTACATTTCTGTTAAACTCAACGCACGACATTTACACAGTCAGAAAGATGAGGAACTCGTGAAAAATGTATGAATATATGTAGCATATGTCATACTACAGTGGTGAAAATGGACTTGTCCCAAATTTTTTGGGATTTGTTGACGCCATGAAATTTGGAAACAACAGATTTTTCCCTTAAAATGATACATTCTCTCAGTTTAAACTTTGATCTGTGATTTGTGTTCTATTCTGAATAAAATATTAGATGTTGGCCCCTCCACATCATTGCATTCAGTTTTTATTCACAATTTGTTTAGTGTCCCAACTTTTTTGGAATCCGATTTGTAATTAACTTTTGGAGTTAATCTCATTAAGATGGCAACCAAAGCCAACAGACTTTAAAACACACAAATATGCCTATGATAACTCAAAGAGTTTCACAGATATAAGCTAAGGTGTAGAATGGTAGTAGCTGAGACTGGTCCTCAATACATACCTAAAATACTAGATTGCGCATGATCCACAAATCATGGCTTTAAAAGTAAAATATCATTTTGCAGGACAACTTTTGGACTGACAATCTTCTCTATTAGGAGTTGTAAGCTTTGGAGCTCATTACCGTCTGAACTTAAGACCATAATGACATTAAAATATTCACTTCAAGGCTTAAGATTTGGCTAAAAATGAACCAGAATTATATTCATTTTTTAAATAGTGTAATTGTTTTAACTCAGTAGTTTTAAATACATTATTTTATATTTCTTTTTCATAATTTTATTGTATTTACTGTTGATCTTATCTTTTAATTTAACCAACTGTTAAAGGTCCTTCTAGGGACGGAAGTTGTGAATTAGCTTTGGCTACATACACTGTGATGCAGGCATTAGATTGTCTGGATTTATGTTTCTTGTATCTATTCCTATCAAATAAACAATAAATAAAACACTTTTTCATGAAAGGCATTGGGCCACTCACTAATAAAAAAGTACATGGCTTGCTCATATTCTTTCTTGTTTAAATTCATTCAACCTTTATTTATACAGCTTAGTCTCACTGAAACGTGAAGACTCATTTACAAGAGAGACCAGTAAATGTTGTCGTTCTTTGCTAAATTAAATATGAATGTTGTTTAATTAATTTATTTGTTTAGTTATTTGGCTTATTGGGGAAAAAAAAATCATATTTTCCAGCTCCAGGGCGGCTGTGACTGAGTGGTTAGAGCAGTCGTCCTCCAATGCGAGAGTTGGGGTTCGAATCCACCAGCAGTCACATGTCGAAGTGTCCCTGGGCAAGACACTGAACCTCTCATAGCCTCTGATGTGTGTCCCATCGGTGTCTGAATGTGATCTAAAGCACTGATTAGTCTCATTAGAATGATTTGTTAAATTAGCTTTGTAGAGATCTAGTAGAGTGCTGTATGAATGGGTAAATGAGGACACAGATTGTTGTGTAAAGCGCTTTGAGTATCTTGAAATAAGATAGAAAGGCACTATATAAATACAGTCCATTTACCATTTAGCTCTGAGAGCTCTGTGTGTATGTGTATGTATGTGTGTGTGTGTTTGTGTGTGTGTGTGTGTGTGTGTGTGT